CTCAGGTAGCCAAGCGGCCCTGAGCTCAGGAGGGTGCTGGGATGTTGCCTTGCAGCCCAGGCCGAGCAGGGCGAAGGCCAGGGGCAGGAGGGCCTTCCGGGAAGCCCCCTAGCCTCACGCCCCGAGCTTGCCTTTCCTAGCGCCTAGGTACCCGGACGCTGGCTCCTCCCTCACCCTCCGTGGGCTCAGCGCAGGCTCGAGGTTTCGCTTCCTGCGAAGGCTGGCAGGGCAGGAGCCGGCTGCCCCCACGGCGGGGGCAAGCTCAAGGCGAAGGTCCGGCGGCCGGGTTGCGCGACTCGCCCGGGGAAAAGAGGCGCTGGGCCTGGGGGAACAGGATTTCCTCGCCTTCTGGGCGCGGCCGCTCCGGGCAAGGCCACACAAGGCCCCCTTTGTGGAGGGGCCCAGCTCCTGCGCAGACCGAAGGCGGCGAACAATAGCGCAATGTTGCCGCTCGCCGGGCCAGGCTCTCCCGGTTACACCACGGCCGCCGAAGGCGAGGAAACCGGGTGGCGCTTTTTTATAGTCACGAGTATAAAATCGGGGCTTTCTCCCCTTTCGCTCGCCCCCTACCCCAACGCCGATAGAAAGCAGATAAATTTATGAAGGGCGAGCTAAGAGAATAATTACAGGGTGAAGGCCGTTAAATTTTATTTCCAGTCCCAAAGGCAAAACCTGCGATTTTATTGCAAACATCTGGAAGGACCAAGAGGTGGGCACGCTGCTGGTTTAAAATAAAAACAAAAGATTTTATTTCGCGAAAACAAAAAAACATCATTAAAGACCCTTTCGCCCCCACGGACATTTATTTTAAAAAGTGTGAGGGGGTTGTTGAACAGTCAACGACGCACGCCGGTCCCGAAGCTCCTGGCAACCTGAACCAACCCGGAGACTCGAGATGCGGTCTACCGGAGCGGGCCTGCCAGCGGGCAGGCGTTTCCAGAAATCGACCCCCTCCCACGCCCTCCCCGAGGGCTCCAGGCCAGTTTTGCCACCCTGTAACTGGGCGCCAATTTGGAAGAAGAAGTGAAAAGTGGGTACGTTGGCCTCATATTCCCCGAAGAGGCGGTCACAGCAACCATAAGACCTCAGGTCTGTTCCGCCTCCCACCGATTATCTTGCCTGCTTTGCCTAATTGTAAAGTATTTAGGACTCCTTCACTCTGCCCACAGGGAAACTGAGGCACCGGTCATTCATCAGCTTGCCTGAGGTCACAGTTTAGAGCTGAAGGGGACTTTCAGCTAGGCTTCACCTGCCTTGGAGTCCGGAGGGTCACCTCCCACCCCATAGTCGCCTCATAATGTTTTATATCTAGTGCCTAGACAGGCTCAATTCATTGTAATTGCCTCCCCCCAACAGAGTGTCCTGCCCACGTGTTTAAGGGCACACTAACATGTCCTGCTGGCAACCGTTTTTAACATTGTTTTCAATTACTCAAGACTGCAACATCACACAGATCACCTTGTATTGAGGCATTAGCAGGGGTGGGACTTAGGGTGGTATTTAGTGGGGAGAAACCCCAGGAAGACTGATTCGTGGGGGGGGGGGTGCAGGAGCTGTGTTTCCAGGACTCCTGTTTTTACACTGCAGAACTCTGGTGTTCCTTTGAAAAATCAAAATATCCGGACATGGTCGATTATAGGTGAGCAGTCATCACGCTGCCTTTTCCTTCTTGGCTTTCCTCCTGTCAAGGCTAGGACCAGGCACCCATTTCCCATCTGTCCCTACCGGTAGTCAGTGAGCTTCTCTTCCCCATTCCCCCTCGATCCCCTCTGACTCCTCCAGTGCTGAATAACCTCTGCTTCTTGGGGACCCTGCAGGGGATGGTGGGGGGGGGGGGGAGGCGAGCTCCAGCTTGTCCCTTTGCCGTCAGCTTCAGGCCTGAAATCTACCCGTAGACTCCACCCAAGACCCAAGGTTGTTGGCTGGGAAATCTGGGGACTGCCTCAGGAGTTAGCCTCAGACGCTGGGTGCCCCACTTCTATTCCTAAAGGTTGAAGAAGAGAGAAACTGGATAATGAGATTTTGAAAACACTGATATAACGAGGGGAGGAAAATGCACACTCCCAGATTTTTGCATTCAATGCCCCCAAACCTCTTTTTCTTCTTCTCCCCAACCACATACATTTATACACTTCAGTCATAGACATTAAACCATCCCGCTTAAGATTGTCCCAGGCCTTCTTCCCCATCAGTACGGGTCGTGAACCAAAGACTGCATGCCCCTGGGGGTGGGGTGGGGGGCGTGGAGGAAACCACAAAGCACCTTAGATTGACCCCTACTGTCACAAAAAGGAAATATCCCTGCCCCTCCCTTTTACCTAGAGGAAAATTCCTGTTTTCCCGACAGATCCAAAACAACCTGGCTTCATTACCATCTGATTTGCTTTAGTGGCCTAACCCACAATTCTAGGATATATGAATATATAATAGAGGTGTGGCCACCTACATGTGGGGGGTCCTCTAAGAACTCTGTGCGGAGCAAAGGCTTTGGGGTGAGGTGTAGATGCATGCCATCGAAGCCATTGCTCTCTTCTCCATGCATGGCTCTCCCACGTGTGTGTATGGGCACCGACGTTGTGCAGGCTTTCTGGGCCTGCACGTCAGTACGTGAGTAAACCAAAAGTTCTTTTTTTGAGAAACTTTCACAGCCTCGGGGGGGAGAGCGTATGGCCTAGGGTGCAGCTACTTCTCAATCCAAGCTAGGTCTGCGAGAGAAGGTCAAGGCAAGAGGCTGCCAGAGGGATGGAGAAGAGGAAAACGCTGGGAGCGAATAGAGTTTGGCCCCGTCGACCCCACAGGGCCTGGTCCCATCAGACCCCAGCCAGGGGCAGTCACACCAGAATCGGGAGCCTTAAGAGGGGTCTGAGCTGCCAGGGGAAGGTAACTGCGCGCTTGGGGCCTGCCCTTGTCTCCAGCTCTGTTGCTGAGGCCCGGTAGTGGTGATTGTGTTGTCACCGGAGGCCAAGCGTGGCTGAATCGCACACATCCCATGGCTTTTCCATTTTTCTTCCTGGATTTGCTGCGCCACTAGCTTCCTCTAGTCTGGCTGGAGCCCAATTTGAGGGGGCTCCAAACGTGTTCTTTTCTGTTTCCCTCTGAAGAGGCCCAAGGTACATTCATGACACTGCCGATGCCTCCAGCCCCGGAGCGCTTCTAAGTGTAATATCAAGGACTAGATTCACCCTTCAGTCGGGAGGGGGCATGTGGCATTTCAGAGGTCCACAGGCCCTCCCTTCTCGCCCCCAAGGTGGAAAGACACATGGGCGCTTGTTCTTGGGGGGCCAGTGGCACGCAATGGGCCCCCCTGCCCTAGGCTTGCTGACTGTACTCAGGGCCTGGCTGTCCTCGAGACCTATCTGCTGAGCCTCTCTCTTCTGTCTGTCGCTCGAACCCGAGAGCTGGCTCTTTCCTGCCTCTTCGCCCTGGGACAGAAGCGTCTCCACCAGGGCATTGGGACGGGAAGATCGGGCTGTGGCTAGGCCATCGCCGGCGAAATCCGAGACCTTTTTTTCCTGCTTGGCAGGATCAACTTCTCGGCCCTCTGAAACGGCTGTGCGTTGGGATCCGCTTGGGGTCTCCGGCGGCCCGCGACCAGCAGCGTAACCCAGGAGGGCGGGTGTGGGAAATGAGAATGGCCTCAGCGCTGGATGGTAAGTTCCGTAGAAATCCCTGACGACCGCACTATCCTGAAAGATTTTTTTTTTTTTTTTAAGGGTGGAGGGAGGATCAGCTGGCGGGGAGAACCCGGTTCCCGAGATGATCAGATTTGAAGGGTATTCTGAAAAAGCTCCTCCGCTGTCAAAGTTACTGGCTGCCCTCGCCCAGCCCCTCTCCGTGGGTTCTCCAGAACAAGCGCCCCGAGCCGGCGAAGCTCAGATCAGCATCCACGCCGAAGCGAAGGCGAGCATTTGCTGCGTGCGGGCCCAGTCGGGATAAGTCTTCGCAGCGGGCGGTAAGCCGGGCGCCCCACGGCTGGCCTTTTGCTTTGAGCGAGCAAACGTCTTCTTCTCCGCCAGGTAGCACTGGAAGGAGGACGCGATCTCTAGATTTCCAATCACAAGACCCTGGATAGTAATGGGGCGTCTTTGTTTGTTTCTTTCGTTTTGCCTTAGCCAGAGTTGATTGGAAATCGTACGACAGGAAAATAACCTGTGTGGCGAAATCCGGGCAGAACCAGGAAAGCTAATAGCATCTGGGAGCAGGAGCGAGATTATCAGAGGCGTTTTCTGGTGTCTTTGGACAGGTTGAGAGCCCCCGAAATCCAGATTGGTAATTTAAATGACTCTGAGCTTGCAGCATCTATGAGACCTATCAGATTTGGAAGGAAAAGATACGGATTTGGGACTTGCAGGAGTTTGGACCGGCACAGATCAGACCTCGACTTCCAGCTCTCCTCCCTCCCCCACGAAGAACCCGTGGGGGACCGGGAAGCCAGGGGTTAAAGTGGGCCCTGGAGCATCCCCGGGACTACCGGCGCGGAGCCTTGGCCCGAGCCTCAGTCTCTCCCCTCCTCTCATTGGCCCGCGCTCTCAGGGTTTCTCCTGTTCCCTCCTCGCCATTGGTCGGGGGCTGGCTTTTTTTCCCCTCAGTCTTTCTCTTCCTCCCCCTCCCTCTCCCTCGCCCCTCGGACAGGAGCGCACCGCCTGCCCCCAGCTCCTCGGGAAGGGAGGAATTTAGAAAAAAAGTTTCCCAGAAGTTTGGATCAGAGGGAGGACGGGAAGACCAAGAGAGGAAGAGGGAGAGGGAGGAGAGAGAGGGAGAGGGAGGAGAGAGAGAGAGAGAGAGAGAGAGAGAGAGAGAGAGAGAGAGAGAATAAAAAAAAGATGAAGTCCAGTCTGCACAGCCTGTGAGCGCCTGCCCGGGTAGGGTGGGAAGCAGGACTCGGGCGCTCATGCTGCGAGCGGGCGGCGCTCCGGGCGCTCGTTCCTAGCGGCTGGGGCAGCTAGGGGCGCCGGTCCGACCCGCGGCGGCGGAGGGCGGGGGAGGACGCAGGGGGAGGGTGCCGGGGACCCGCAGGGCCGCCGCCTCAGTCTCGGCCGCCGCGCCGCCGCCTCTCCCGGGCCCGGCCCGGCGGGCGCTCGGAGCGTGAGGGCGCGGGCTGCTCCCTCAGTAGCGGGGGCGAGCGGAGGCCGGGGTGCGGGCGGCTAAGATGAGTGAAAGGAGAAGATCTGCAGTCGCCCTGAGCTCGCGAGCACATGCCTTCTCCGTTGAAGCCTTGATCGGCTCAAATAAAAAGCGGAAACTGCGAGACTGGGAGGAGAAGGGGTTGGACCTGTCCATGGAGGCGCTGAGCCCCGCGGGCCCACTCGGAGACGCGGAGGACGCGGCCGCGCACGGCCTGGAGCCTCACCCGGGTGAGTGCGCAGGACCGGACCGAGGGAGGCGGGCGGAGAGCGGACGCCCGGCGGCCGGCGGGCGGGCGGAGCGGTGTGGAGGGAGGCCCTGCTCGCTGACGCCCTGCCTTGCTCCAACGCGGGTTTCCTTTTCTTCGCGCAAACGCCTTGAGCCTTCCCCAAATTCGCCGCAAGCAATTTGAGGGAACTGAGCCTTGCATTTTCGTCGCCAACCTCAAGCAAGGAGGCCTCACTCGCATCCCTTTCTCTTCTGGGAGCGGAGCGCAGTGTTCTGGTGTGCGCGGCTGAGCGGCCGCAGGCCCTTGGGGTTAAGGAGGGGCGCAGATCGAAGGCGACGGCGGGAGCGGAGAGGGGCTGGGACTGTCTTTTGAGAGCCCCAGAGGACTGGCGCGGAGCTGTCGGGCTCCATACCCAGTCTCGGGAAATGCCCGGTTTGCCCCATTTAGCTTTCGACCTCGGTCCTCGCCCTTCCCCCACCAACTTTCCTGGGACTCAAGTTGTTGTGTTTCCCCTACCCCGGCGACAACGGAGCATAATTATATTTCTACTTCGTTGGCGTTTATGGAAAGAGAATGTATGTTAGACCTCTCAGCCTGCGCCCTGGGCCACTCTTCAGGGCCCACACCTCTGTGTATTGCGGGGGGAGCGGTGCGATTAATTTCTGTGCCCATTATATGTACACAACACGTAAAACTCAGAGCGGATGTCGGTGTCTGTATTTTAGCAGAAACCTGGGCGGGTGGTTGAGGGGGGAGACAACTTAAAGTTCTGTATTAAGTGCCAAGATTTCAACTGTGCAAAACAGCCCCGGGGAACAGCTGTTGTCGGAAGAATCTTGCGCGCGCGCGCGCGCGCGCACACACACACACACACACACACGCACACGCACACACACACACACACACACACACACACACACACACACACCCGCTCGCAGCTTGGGTTTAGCGGTTTCAGAAACTTTCCAGCCAGGACTTATGTAGCCATTCTGGAGGTGCTCCTGCTGACCAGCTAGGGCTGGGGAGTAAACCTGGGTCAGCGCGCCGGAAAGCGGAAAGCCAGGGTGGGGGCGGCGGCCCGCAAAGGGATGGGGGTGGCCACGGGTCGAAGAGCTCTGGGACGGAGCTTGGGGCCCAGGGGCTTGGGGGCTGGAAAGCTGGCCGACCCAAGGAGGGACAGCTGTCGCTTACATTTTCTCTTTCGGCAGTGACAGTTCAATTTCCATGCTCCTGAGGCTAATAATAACGCGATTAGCGTGTGACTTGCAGAGACAGGGTTTTATGAATTCTCCGTGTTCTTGTGGCCCGTTACGGTATTTGAGTTTAGTGCTGGGGAATTATTTTTATTAGTCGATGAAAAGAAAATTAAAAGGGAGATTTATTTCGTCCGCTCAAGTCTTTCCCTGTATTTGGATGCGGGTGCTTGCCCACGCGGACCCCTGTGTGGGCAATCCAGAAAAGAACGCGTGGCTAATGTGTGTTTTCCATCTCTGGCCAGACCCTACTTCCTCACCGCATTTATATGTTGTCAAAATCTCACTCGGGCCTTCGCACAGTTTAGTGGAAGTTCTTTCAGGCTTCATGACAATTCACGATTTGGGAGGTTAGTTTGTTTTACTTTCCCGACGGTGGGAAGGCAGAAGTTACTTAACTGCGTGTGGCAGACGCCTTGTCCACGGGACTTTTCTTTAAGGAGGGGGGCCAGGTCGGCCGGAGCTGATCTTGGGTCGCACGTTCCAAAGGACCAGCACGTGGGGTCATAATCAGAGGCTCAACTCGCAGTTTTCTCTTATGGCCGTTCTTTTCAGCCATAGTGAGGAGAGAAAAGGTTGGAGCAAGGTGAGACCAGTCCGGAGACATAAACGCGAGGGCCTGTTGTCCAGAATGCGGTTCCCTCGCTCCCACAGTATGGGGGCCAGAGGGTGAGGACCTAATCTAGAACTTTGTGGCACCCAGAGCTCAGCTGACCGTTTTCCTTTCCTGTATCATTCTTTTTTCAAAGAAAAAAAAATGTGCTTTTGTATTAGAGAAAACGAAATAACGTTTGTGGGGCTACGGTCTGGGAGGAAGGAAGAAGCTGAAAGCGGAGAGCACTCCCGGGCCTTATGCGGGGCCGGCTACCAACCGGGCCTCGCTGCGAGGTGCGCCGAGGGGATCTCCAAGTTGGAGCCCCTTTAGTGGCCAAAGCTTTCTGACGAACCGGACGTACGAAGAGAAAAAAGAGCTTTCAGAAAAACTGCGCGGTATCGTGGAGCCTAGGCAGCCCCCGGAGTGGAGGAGGCGGAGCTGCAGGCTCTGGGCCCGGATGGTGGTGGAAGGCAAGGCCAGGGCTTGGGGTCCCCTGTAGGCCTTTCTTTCTTTTTCCTCTAATAGAGCGCCCTAACGAACACATACAGACTGGGCCACCGTTAAGGTGTGTGTATGGTGGTGGAGGTGGGAGGGGGCACAGGCGACTCCGTTTGTGCCCAGGGCCGTGTGTATGCCGGTCTTAGCCTCCAACTGTTTAAACTCTCTTCCCGGATTAGGACAGAGAGCCGGCTGGACCCGCTGCGTGGCTCAACTGCGCTAGGCCGGTGATAAGTCAGGAACCGGGATACAAACGACAACAACAAAACCAAAATTGCCACGGAGCTTGGGGAAGGATTAAACAAACAGGCAAACATACACAGGACACCCGCCTAGAGCAACTCTATTTATCATTTTCCCCCTCCTCCTCCCCCCCCCCGCCCCCCTGACTGGGACCTCCGTTTCCAGCCTTCTCTGTCCGTGCCTTTAAATCCAAGGATCCTCAGACAACCCAAGGGTCAGATTTTAATGTTTAACTTTTATTCAAAGACGTGGCCTTTTGCTTTTTCACAGCCCGTTTTTTCTTTTCGCGTCCGGACAGAGCTGGCTTTAGTTGGCGCCGAGCGCCCCGCAGCCTGGGGCGCCAACCTGCAGCAGCGGGGGACCAGCCCGGCCTGCGCGCCGTGGGCGCTCACACATCAGAGGACACACAGTATGTATTTCAAACGTTTCCACCGAGTCTGCTGGTCCTGAAAGACCCTGAGGCCCTAAGGGCCTTGGAGAAGGGCCTGTGAGATGCCCTCATTATTACCAGAACTCCGCGTCTTTGGAGAAGCCGCCGGGACGCAGCCGCCGCTGGCTCGGGAGGGTCTCCCAGGAGCCTGACTCTCCGGCCTGCTTGCCTCCGCCTCTCACCGAGCAGCAACAGGGAAAACTTTTAAAGCCAGGATCGCCCGGAACAGCTGCTCCGGCTGCGGCCTTAGAAGTATATTTCAGGCACGCGGCGGCGCCATCTGCGCTCGGACCCCAGCCCCGGCTCCACCCGGCTTCCCCAGCTCGAGTTTGGGCCTTTTCCCGCCCAAATCCACAGCCGAGTGCTGCCGAGGTCCGGTCTCCCGCGGAGCGAAATAATTCAAACCTTCTGCGAAAGGATTTCCCCCTTCAGGGCCTGCGGCCCTATGCCTTGCAGCCGTGGCGCTCCAGAGGCCTAAGAAGGTGGCGGAGTACGCGGGTGGGCACACAGAGCAGGCACACTCAAGAACGTGCGTGCAGAGCCGCACTCCGCGCGCACGTGCACATGCATCAGGCTCGCGGGGTCCCTGCACCCATCTACGCAATCCCTAGAGGAATGAGACGGGAACAGCCCAGGCGGTGCCCCAGGGCCCTTTCTTCTTCCGAATTACCGAGATCAGCTGTTCACGCGAATTAAGCTGCCAGTTTATGGCTTGTTTGCTCAGAGTAAAACTCCCAAGATTTTAATCCTGACATCACCCCTCCACCCACCCCCAATCCCCAATAGGGAAACACAGGGTCAAAACGGAGGAAGTGACTCTTCACTGACGTTTAAGTAATGGAGAAAACGCGATGCGTTTGAAGCCAGTGGGGAGAGTATGCTTGTGCTGGGCAAGAACCAGACAGGGCGCACGCCGGGGCTTGGACCGCAGGGCAAGGGTGTGGGGTGCGCCGGGCCGGACGCCAAAGCGTATGCCTGAGGTAGAGTCCGGGGCGAGGAACACTGGTTCCTCAGCGGTGCGTTCGCCCCATCGCCGGTGCAGGCCTCAAAGATGCCAGGCCTGGGCCCGGAGGATGAGCCAAGCGTGGTGCCTGCTGGACATGCGCAACGCTCTCTCCTGCCAAGTCAAAACGGCCTTCCGCGGTGGCCGCGCCTTTGGTGAGTGACCTTGCGTGAACGGGAGTGAGGGGGTAGGCGAGATCTGAATTCGTCCCAGGCAGGTGAGGACGGGTGTGTTCGAGGAGGGCCGCCGACGCCCTTTGGTCGAGCTGCTCGGACGCTGGCTAGGTCGCGGGGCTGGGAGAGCGCGCTGCACGGGCTCGCGGGAGGTGGGCAGGGTTCTGGAGGGTTCTGTGTAAAACACCAGCCCTGGTGCAGTGGCACAACAGAGCCCCCCACCCTCACCCCCACCCCCAGGAAGAAGGAAACAGTTCTAACCCCCAGCATTCCGTGGATGGAACAAACTGCTGGAGGGCAGTGGGGAGGACGAGGAATGGGGGAAACACCCTAATGCCCAGCGTTTGGAATGTGATGGAAGGGGGGCAGACGGAGTGTGCTGTGCTTTGCACCCCCCCGCCAGGTCGACCGGTGTCCCCCGAGCGCTTCACCGGTCCTTGTGATGAGGGTAACAGGCAAGTGCGGGGGAACGGTCTCTCGCGGACGGGCGGTGCGGGACCCCTCGCCCGGCCCCGCCGCCCACCTATGCCGCTCGGAGACTGGTACGCCGCAAGCGTAACGCCGGGAGCAGGCTTTTCTGGACGTGACAGATCAGCTCACAGCCTAGGGGTGCGGCGCTTCTGAATTCGTGTCTTCCTTCCACGCCCCACCCAACGCTGTTTCTTATCGAACGTTTTTCTTTGGGTTCAGAGCTGGACACTTTTAGGTTTCCTGATTTTACAGGTTAAACTCCCGGAAAGGAAAGTTCGCGGGGTGACGTTCATGCAGGGGGAAGGGGGAATTAAATTTCTAATAATGGAATAATG